AAGAGCTGATCTGGAAGTGAAGTTACGTTCTTCCCCACTCGAGTCAAGCACGCCATCTATTACACCACAGAAGTGGTTCGGAGGCACTTGGTCCGATCAAGTAAGATTATCAGCTCATGAAACTTGGGAGTTATTTTGGAAAATGATAAAACTAAAAGGTATTCAACATATTTGTTCTTGCAAAAACATGCAAGTTTGTATTAATATCCAAGATCTACTGTTAAAAATTAGCGATTCAATAAGCACAAAATTTGTTTGAATTTTGAGGATTTTCTTGAGAAATACGTAAGGACGTCATAGTGAATATCATGCATTAAATAAAACAAGCCTCCGCATTTCTTTTTCCTGTATTTGATTTAGAATTAAGTCTTTACCATAACTTCTATAGTTCAGCTAAATACGGGACCCAAACATGGCTTTTACAATACTAACTTCATTAAGGACAAAATATATCAAGTTTACATGAAACAACAAATACTTTTAATTTAATCTGATTTAATCCTTGATTAATGCCCTTTCCCACTCCACCCATTAAACGAAAAATTAGGAAAGGGCCCTAGTCACCAAATCAGGGCCCTTTGATGAATTGCTGAACTGAAGCAACAGAAGCCTACATTATTTGAAGAACAAAAATATTTTCGAAAGAAATGGACAACAAACCAGCTCATTGTATTGTGCGAAATCATTATGCAAATCTTTGGGTAAATTATTATACTTATATTGTGGAAATAAATATAGTAATCTTGAGGTAAATGATCACAAGACTCGGCTCAATTATTCCCGTTCCCATCCAACCAGTCTATGCGTTTTTACATGTATAATATCTTTACATGTAAAACAAAACAAATTTAATTTCAACTTTAATGTTACAGTCCACTGAAGGGCATTGACACCTGAATCAGACTCATTATTCTGATTTAAATCCACCCAGTTTTATTCCTTATATTGATGCGTACTTAGCGTAGAAAAATCAATGCATATACACGGGGTGGGAAAATAGAACGCAAAGGGTAGCACATTGGTTATTGTTTAGATCTTTGCTGCAACGAATGTACCCGGCTGATAGAAGGTACTAAATATCAATTTCAGTAATTTTTTTACGTTCAAATGGTTTTATTTATTCCCTTCTTATTTACACTTCTTCGCATTATGATATGCAATCACAAAAATTAACAATGGCGGAGGAATTTGGAAGTGAGAGAATCATTATTGTTTAACACAATGAAGCAATTTTATAGCGATATCATGGAAACAACACAATAATAAGATGATATGATATCCGATTTGTACTAGACTAACGCAATGAGTTGAATCGTTATCGTGCTAGCACAATGAAGCAATAGTCCACAGAAATACATTTCATCCGACTTCGACACATTATTCTAAATTCCAAGTCAACCAGTCTTCTCTTTTTTACATGTAAAAAATTACAAAGTTCAACGTAACAGCCAAGAGCTGATCTGGAATCGAAGTTACGTTCTTCCCCACTTGAGTCAAGCACGCCATCTATAACACCACAGAAGTGGTCCGGGGGCACTTGGCCCGATCAAGTAAGATTATCAGATCATGAAACTTGGGAGTAAATTTGGAAAATGAAAAAAAAAGGTATTCAACATATTTATTCTTGCAAAAAACATGCAAGTTTGTGTTAATATCTAAGATCTCCTGTTAAAAATTAGCGATTCAATAAGCACAAAATTTGTTTGAATTTTGAGAATTTTCTTGAGAATCGACAAACAAGCTCTACGGAATGACGCTATAGTGAATATCATGCATTAAATAAAACAAGCTTACGTATTTCTTTTCAGTCTCTGTATTTGATTTAGAATTAAGTCTTTACCATAAATTCATAGTTCAGCTGAATACAGGAACCAAACATGGCTTTTACAATACTAAATTCATTAAAAACAAAATATATCAAGTTTATATGAAACAACAAATACTTTAAATTTAATCAGATTTCATCCTTGATTAATGCCCTTTTACACTCCACCCATAAAACGAAAAATTCAGAAAGGGTCCTAGGCACCAAATCAGGGCCCTTTGATTAATTGTTGAACTGAAGCCACCATAGCCTACATTATTTGAAGAAAAAAAATTTTTTTTCGAAAGAAATGGACAACAAACCTGCTCATTGTATTGAGCGAAATCATTATGCACATATTTGGGTAAATGATTATACTTGTATTGTGGAAATAAATATACAAATGGGATTATACAAATCTTGAGGTAAATGATCATAAGACTCGGTTTCATTATTGCCGTTCCCATCCAACCAGTCTATGCGTTTTTTTTACATGTACAATATCTTTACACGTAAAACAGAACAAATTTCAATTTCAGATTGAATGTTACAGTCCACTGAAGGGCATTGACACCTGAATCAGACTCAATATTCTGATTTCGATCCACCCAGTTTTATTCCTTATATTGATGCGTACCAGAGACATATGTCTCTGTGCGTACTTAGCGTAGTAAAATTAATGCATATAAACGTGGTGGGAAAATAGAACGCAAAGGGTAGCACATTGGTTATTGTTTAGATCTTTGCTGCAACGAATGTACCCGGCTGATCGAAGGTACCGAATATCAATATCATTAATTGTTTACGTTCAAATGGTTGTATTTATTTACTGCTTATTTAAACTTCTTCGCATAATGATATGCAATCACAAAAATTAACAATGGCGGAGGTATTTGAGAGTGAGAGAATCATTACTGTTTAACACAAATGAAGCAATGTTATAGCTATATCATGGAAAGAACACAGTAATAAGACGATATGATATCCGATTTGTACTAGACTAACGCAATGAGTTGAATCTTTATCGTGTTAGTACAATGCAATAATAGTCCACAGAAATACATGTCACCCGACTTCGACCCATTATTCTGGGTTCTCTGGCATTTTTTTGGAAACGGACCCACACAAGGATTATCCCGGTGGCTTCAGAAAAGATTAAATTGTAAACTTTACGGACTACGAATGATCAACACAAAACGATGGAAATGTACAGCATGATCATACGTGACAACATAAATATATCCCTTCTATATCTACAAGTGTTTTCATAAGAGCGTTAGTCGTCAGCTAGCTTTAAAATCATTATTTACTTTGGGGAATCTGATAGTATAAACGGCTACTATGATACATGTATATATGATTTTACAATATCATACATTTAACCGAGAATTAAAATCCTTTTTTTTTACATGTTAAGATATTTTACATGTTAAAAAGAGAACATAATGTTTTCTCATAAATGTGTCTGAAGGTAAAAGTTTGTAATGCAATACAATTTGGCTCAAAATGATTGTGTGATTTTCCTCACTGACATATCCCGTTTCTTCCCATTGTTAACCCAAGGTATAACGACATCTTTGTTGAAGCCATTAATACAACGGAGTGCGAGATTCAATTCCCTTACATAATTCAGTATAGGTGCTTGAAACAAATTTTGACCAAACTAAGCGTTGACGTTCAATTGTTTGCCTAAACAAGTGATGACAAAATTTGACGCACAAGGGTAGGAGATTGCCAGCTGAACATAATCTTGGATACGAAAAAGCTACCCTGTTGATACCAATTTAATTTTGTGTTTATGCTGAAATGATTTTATTTATCATTGCTTATTTCAACTGATTCGCATAATTATTCGAAATCAAACAAAATAGCGAAGGTGGGGACACTTAGAAGGGAGAATGATTATTGTTTAACACCAAGTTATCAATGTCAAAGTTAAATCAAGGCGAAAAGAAAATAATAAGAAGACATGATACTTGATTTGGACTAGAACACGCTGAGCTGGATTTTGATAATGCGAACACACTGAAGCAATCGTCCACAGGAAGACATGTCAACCGACTCAGACCCATTGATCTGATTCCTAGCCAACCAGTCTTTGCTTTTTTTTTACATGTAAATTTTTTTTTTAAATATTTTTAAAGATATGCTATTTAATTAGTGCAAAAAGTGTTTAAGTTTCGTGTTTTGTCTTGAAAAACGATAATCAAGCTCTACGGAATGATGTAGTAATGAATATCATGCATTATATATATAAAAAAAACTAGTATGTACGTCTTTTCACACTGTATGATGTATAGAATTATGTCTTTACACGAACTCAAATATGAGAGCCAAACATAGTTTTTATCATACTTACTCCATTAAGGACAAAATATATCACGTTAACATGACACAATGATTTTAAATTTGAACAGATTACATCCTTTGATTAATGCTCTTTCCAGCTACGAGCAGAAATCGTATCATTTAGAAAGGGCCGTGATCACCAAAACAGGGCCTTTTGGTGAATTGTTAAACTGAAGACCGCAGTCTACATTTTGAAGACAAAACGTTGCTTTTTCTTTAGAAATGAACAACAAACTGGTCATTTTTTTGTATGAAATGATTAAACAAATATTGCGGTATATGATTACACAAATGGGTAACTTTTACGCAAAACTTAACCTCGAAATTAGGTACGGACGGACAAGATAAACACTATATATCCACAGTCGACGTGGGCATACACATCACTTAAAATGCTCTTAGAAACTAAAAGGCAACTTGGTAAAATACTTGAAATCCAACGTGAATACAGGTTATACGTAGGAGTGTGCTTGTTGTTAAAATCAATATAGATCTGTAATATGCATGGAAACATTAACGAAATTTCTTAGAATACCTATTTATATACATGCATCAAGGATCAAATTAAATTGATTTTATTTGCGAACAAAATCGCTTGCGACAATTAGTATCCTCTTTTAATGAAAGAATGCATATATAAACATGTAGTTAATATTTTAAAACAGTAAAAAGTCTCACTTCCGCAGTTCCAATTAAAGTTACAGTGTTGACTGATTTAGTATTATAGTTAATTTTTAAAAGAATTTATAGTAATTAAATTTAGTGCGAGTTTGAAAAGCAAGTTAATATTATGTAATCTGTCACACCCCATTTAAATGTTCAGTTCGTCACAAGTCAGTATATCGTAATGGCGTCGCAATATTTTACTGCAGCTGAATGCATGCTTGCTGGATTAAATATGGAAGATAAGGAATTTATCAACAGCAATTTCTATGTCAAAAAAGTTCGAAAGAGAGGGAGATCCGTGTTTGCGAAAAGAGCATTCAAAAAAGGAGATTATGTGATGGAATACAAAGGTATTTGTAAAATGTATACCGAAAAAGAATTCCTTTCCACACAGATGATGTACGAGAGTAATGAGGAATTGTCATATTGTTTGGAATTTACTTTTCAAAACCAAAAATACTATATTGACGCTACACGCGAATACGATTACGGTATTGCACGCCTAATAAATCATGCCAGGAATCCTAACATCAAACTTTTTAGACCAGTCTTAGTAGAAACTGACAAACTACCACGAATAGCAATGTATGCTGCTACAAATATTTCTGCAGGTGAGGAACTCTTTTGGGATTATTTCTCATCGTTAAATCCAGTCAAATGTTTGCTCGATCAAACAAATTCAACAGTTACGTCAGAAATGCAATGGATTTTTTCAAAAAGAACAAAATCAGGTGGAATAATATGTCCGTCCAAAAAAAGGATACCTCACAGAAGTGGATTGTGTACGATATGCTACGAATTTAAGAAGAAGCTGTCAAATCATTTAATCAACGTTCATTCTGTTAAATCTGTTATAACACGAAGGAAAATGATCAAGGATGGAAGAAAACATTCAAAATTAGCTAGTACGTTTTGCAAAACCCCCAAAAAGAAATCATTGTGGTGCCCATTTTGTCATCGTGACTACAAACAACTGTCTACACATCTATCGAGAATTCATAGTGCAAGTGCCGATATGAAAAAGGCAATTATCAGAAAAAATAGGGAAAAGGAAATTAAGAAAAGGAAGACAGATTTCTTGCAGAAAACAGAAAAATAAGGAGAAATAAAAACTGAGCCCGGTTTCAGATGTAATCGGAAACATTTGGCCTAACGTAGAGTAATGCGCATGCTCTTAAGACTATTTTATTTTTGTCAATACTTAGTTAGTCAGTGCAATTATTTAGCTACAAAATGAATGGTAACCCATATATAAAAGAACGTATTATATCTCATTACCACGATTTGATTAGTAGGAATGGGCATTTTCATGGAATTTATTCAAAAATTTCTAAACGGTTAGAAAATGAAAATTTCGTTGTGGACAGACGTTTTGTACGACGCACTATACAAACATTCATTTCATGTGGAAAACTATATCGTGACCGTAAAGGCAAACCAAATAGACTTTCGAAAAACAGACAAATACGTGAAATCATTGATAACTGTATGAAAGCCAATGATGAAACAACTGCAAAATATTTGAAATCCATTGTTCAAAGGAGGGGATATACTATCAGTTTAACGACAATAAATAAGATACGAAGAGAATTGGGGTGGACACTAAAAGGTACTAGGTACTGTCAAATGATAAGAAATGTAAATAAACCAAAACGTGTGGATTGGGTCAGAGAGAATATTAACGACACCTTTGAGGACGTCATCTGGACAGATGAAACATCAATTTGGCTAGAACAGCATATGAAACGATGCTACAGGAAAAAGGGCGTAAATGCTAAAAGGAAACCAAAACCAAAATACCCTTTAAAATTGCACGTTTGGGCAGGAATTAGCAGGAGGGGCGCAACAGAAGTGTGTATTTTCAATGGAATAATGGACGCAACCTTATATATTGACATTTTAGAACAAACTCTTATTCCCTTTATCAGACAAAAATACCCTGAACACCATCGATTCATGCAAGACAACGATCCAAAACATCGATCTCTCAAAGCAAAAGAATTCTTTGAAAACAACAACATTATTTGGTGGAAAACACCCGCAGGTAGATTACGCATGCATATGTACTCGTATTGTAAAAATGTTCATTAGACAATCGTTTTTGCATGTGATTTTAGTCCCAATACATTTTTTTTTCATGAAAAAAACATTCTTGTTACAGATCCACAAAATTTTATTTGATTTGCATACTAAGAAAAGTTCGTTTTAACAAATAATACTACCTTTTTTCAACCAAAGTCGAACTTTAAAAATGTCAAAGCCTCCCGTTTATAAAATGATCTTAGTCTTAATAATCAATCATTTCTTACATATACCATATACTAAAACCGTTTACAGGACCAACCAATTAAATATCGGTATACTTAACAGCGTGTTTGTATTCTTCAAAATGAAATTGAAAAGCTGACAATTCAGAATTTTTTTAATTTGTTTTACCTTTTTCACTTTCAATTGTTTGTGTGTTTGTAAGATATGGTTTTGTCTATCTAGTAAACAAAATTTGTTTGTGCTTGGATCCTTTGATCAGATTTTTCCAGAATTACACTCCACATTCCCTTTGGGCAATTACATGGCAGTTCCATTAATTATATTCCGCCCCGTACACAAAAATTTAAATTACAGGAAAACTCCTTTATCATTTAAAGATATTGAATGCATTATTTTTTAATTGTTAAAACCTAAATAACCCTGCATGTTGTTTTTTTCTTATATCGCTCTCGGTATTGTGAGGGAGTATTCATTTAAAAGAGGGGCAATTTATTTTTTAATTCCTATGATATAAAAAAAAGTGTAATTCAACAACAAACAGGAACTTACTGAAATCTAGGGTAACATCAGGTGCTTCAAATGGTAAGCAAATTCTACTCTGCATGTGACCCCTCATTGTACTCATGGAAAAAGCCTTCTTTAGAAAAACAATATTTCAAAATCGTTAATGGATATAAACTTTTGTCAAATAATTAAAGAAAAAAGACCTGGTCTTGGTCTTTTTTTATCTCCAAAAATGGCGGTTGTCACACGTGGAGCAGGTACTGCTTACCCTTCCGGAGCACCTTATTTCACCCCCGGTTTTTGGTTAGGTCCGTGTTGCTCGCCTTTAGTTTTATGTGTTTGTTGTTGTTGATCGTTGTTTGTCTTTATCTAATTTTTATTTTGGCCACGTATTTGTCTTTCCATATTGGTTTGCGATTTTTTGATAACGTCTTGGTATCTTCTCTTCTTATTTTTTGCTGGACTAAAATTCGACAATCATAAACCTCGTCGTTATACATAGACCTAGCTTGGTCCCAAAGGTCCAATTTAAAAAAAAAAACAAAAAAAACAATTTATTATTTTTTAAATTTTGTTGTTGCATAGTTTGAATCTACTTGACGCCACGAGTAATTTGATATACAACAACCTGATGTTGCCTTTAATGGGGACAATGACTATTTTTTGAGAACCATCCTGTCCCCTAGGGTTTATGCTACGGTTCTAAAAAACCAATCAGTTCTTTATTACCCCCCTGATTACTTGAAAACTTCATTGCATTCTTCCAAAAAATAAAACCGAAACTCTAGAAAATCTAAATATTTGAAAACTTAGATTAGTGGACACGCCCTACCTCAGGGTAAGAATTTGGCTTTCAAAAACTAATCAACTCTTCTACTTGTTTGTCCCAACATTTTATGATGATCATTTTGAGAAATGACTGAAAAATTGTACAACGAAAACGGTGGAAAAGAAAAAAAAATAATCAGAAGAATAACAATATGTATTTCCACCGTTGGAAAGACCTAATTATAATAGGCGCAACTTAGGCAAGATTCGATGACACATAAATGTCCTATGATAATTGTCAGACATTCATAAGTCCTAAGATAGTTCGTTAACGGAGACCCTTGGATTAGTACCTCTTCTTTGCAAATTAACAAAAAATTATAAATAACGTTGGTCAACAAGAATGTAGGACAAATTTGCTGCACATTTTTTAAAACATACGTGGACGGTCACTGCCATTTTTGGTTTAATTTTGCCCTAGAGATTGCAGAGAACAATAAGAATATTTATCAAAAGATGCCTCTTTGTCAACCGCTCACTCCTGTTTTTATTTTCAATTGGAATCTCTTTAAGTCTGAAAAGCGACCATTCTTACCAAATTTGGTTTTAACTTTCACGAAGAAGGGGAGAAGATGTTTTAATGATGTTTTGTCCAAATTTGAATATTGTGCATGTTCAATAATTTCACATAAGAACTCGAACAATGTGTTACACTACTCATTAGCAAGTTTCAAAAGTATAAATCTGAGCTTGTCTTCTAGATATAAAAAATGCTGAAGTTTTGGATATCTATGAACTATATCACAACATTTTTTTACAAGTCCTAAGTGCATATTTTATCAGTTGACAGGCTGGGCGTTGTTATTTAAATACAAAATTGTATTTCTACACATACAATTTTCAAGCCGTGTTGAGAGCCTTGTGACATTTTGTACAATGAAAATTAACGGCATTAATTATGATCAATAGCAATTTCCTGAGAACTGTTTGTGGAAAACATTAATAAACTGAAGTCTATAAAGAATGTGATCTTTTTAATGTTAGTGACAATAAATTTGCGATATACATTGTAATTGAATTTTTCGCCTACAATTAAATTTGACCAGGAAACGAAGGCGTCATTTTTATTATCTAACATTCGGTTGATAACCATGAATCAGAATATGCGAAATACAAATTGGGGGTAAACAAATTGGATCAAGAATATTGGAACTGTACTTGGGAATGAACTAAAAGATACTGATGCCTCTTTGCGATTTTTTAATGATAACGAACGAATAAGGAAGTAAAACTTAAGGCAACAAGCTGGCTGGGATTTTTTTGAAAAAAATATTTTGCTGGCCTAGCTGACCGAAAAAAAATTCAGATGTTGCACTGTAGCTGAAATTTTTTTTTATGGTTTTGTGAAAAAAAAATGTATTTCTGGTCCACATGATCATGATGATAGGAAAAAAATTTTTGCTTTCCTTCTCATAAGAAAAAAAATATTTTATCGGAGGAAGGTTCTGAAAAAAAAATTATGAACACAATGAAAATCCAGCCCCGCCATCCCCCCCCCCCCCCCCCCCCCCCCCATAAGAAAATGGTTGTTGTCTAAGGCAATGTGATTATTTTAATAGCAATTGAGAAATGTTAGTGAAAACATTAATAAATTTACGTCTCTAAAGAATGTGATCTTTTTAATTTCAGTTACAATAAATTTTCACCTCCAATTACACCTGACTAGGAAATAAAGGCGCCATTTTTATTACATGACCATAAAACAAAATATGCGAACTGCATTTTAAGAATTATGAAAACTTTGGGATCATTTTCCAGAAACATGTGCAAGATGAAAAAAAATATTTATGCTTAAACATGTAAAGTACTATATGTCATGTATGTATTCACAGGTTTAGTTCTTTGGAAGGGGGAAGAAACTTTTACCATTATTGACACAGCTTGAAAACTGTATGTGTTAAAATCCAATAATACTGTCTATGTTATATAGAGAATCACCCATATATGACCACGTTTATGAATTGTTTATCAATATATTAGTATGAAAAATCATCAAATTGCTTTTATAACAACCCCTAAAAATATTAAAAATGTTAAAAGATGTGCCTTTGCGAGTTTTTCTTTTCATAACGAAGAAATAAAAACGCAGAACCAGGAACAATGTGAGAATTAAAGAAAGAACAGTTTTGTTTCGAAAAAAACCCAGCTCTTTTGTCGAAATGTTTTTAACAAATTTATGGTAAGTGTTAAACAATCCAATTTCAATGAGACTCTCAAGGAGCACCTGAGTTCTCTCTAGGAACTCACAAGAGGATCGTTATTTTCTATATGCCGTCTTTTTAAATGTTATTCGTCATTGCTGTTGTTGTTTTTTTACCATGGTTTTGTAAATCACTTCCAGCGTATGCTTTTTGATCTTTTAATTCGAAACGAAAAACAGGGAAAACAATTTTAAGTTGGCATTCCAAGGAAAATGACACAATTGTGACATTTAGTTTCTTATAATTGAACTAAGATATTTACAGTGGTGCAGGGGATTGGTCCCGGTGGTTGAACCTCACCTTATTTAAAAATATAATATAATAATTCCTAGACAAAATTGCGAGCATTTGCAAAAACATAGCCTGGAACCCCTCTTTTCCCCATGAACTCCCTTTCAAAAATCCTGGATCCGCGACTGTTTGGTTCATGATTGAACTTTACAGTAAATAATTGTTGCAGAGATACTTCTCGATAAGTTATGTAAAGTTCTTCATAGCACTACAAATAAAATATTGCATAACTAGGCAACATGCATATATATATTTATATATTCATGTTGCCTAGTTATGCAATATTTCTTATTTTTGGTGCTATGAAGAACTCTGACTAGTCAACATGAATTATAATGTATTTCAAGACATGCTGACAGTTCATATGTCATTTCTATGTATTCATTTTTTGGTTTTCTTATTTTTTTCCTGGCCGTATTTCAAAAGTCTTTAAAAAAACCTTTTAACTTTTTTTATATTTTATACTTCAATTCAGTTGTTGGACAAATAAATTCATAAACACACACTTAGATAAACAACCTGTCAATCACTAAATCTAGAAACAAAAGCTTTGCCACAATCCATCGAAGGCAAAAGTTCTACAACATATATATATATATATATATATTAATATTTTTTGGATTATTTTTTTTATATTTTTTTCGCTTACGCATTCTTCACAATCAATAATTTTTTTCCGAATATAACAGTTTCACAAATTTAAAGCAGTAAAATTCTACAAAAGACAACAGGATCAATAGATTTCATGTCAACACCGAAGTGCTGAATATTGGGCTGGTGATAACCTCGGGGACTAACTGTCCACAAGCAGTGGTAGTAAATAAACATCTTAATGCATGCGTTAGACGCGCTTATCGACAACTAATGTCTAATCAGTAACGCTTGAACCCAAAAGTTTGAAGATAAAAAATATACCAAAAGTTGAAGATTATTAACAAGAGTGGAAATATGATATAGTCTCGCCTGTGTATCTTTCAAAATAATTAACAGAATCAATGGCTTTATTATTTTTTTATACTTAACTTTTGATGTGGATGAACACAACTCATTGAATCACCGAACCATGAAAATGGGGTCAAGGACAGGTGATAACTGCTAGACTGACATGTCCACCTTTCAAAAAATATACAGATGGAAAATTGTAGGACGAGTTAGCTGAACATACTATGTATCCTTTTATATAAAATTTTGCAGAAAAATTACTTAGTTCAACAAACAGGAAATCTATAAAAAATAGATAAAGTTCATATTTTAAAACACATGCACATCTTCATTATGTAAACAAACATCCTGTAAAATTTTAAAGATGTAGTAGGAAGATAGCAAACTATGCACCCTGTATACACAATTTTGCTGAAAAAAATGACCAAGTTCAACACTGTGGAAATTTGTGAGTTTATTTTCATTCTTATGTATGACCAACTGCACATATTATGTAAGAATATTTTTTATATGTCCATTTTTCAGAATCTCCGGATTTAAATCCAATAGAAAATCTCTGGCACGAAATGAAAGACTTTCTTAGAAAACATATTAAACCAACGAATCAAAACGAATTGGTAAATGGAATACAACGCTTCTGGGACACAGTAACAATAGAAAAGTGCAATTCATACATAGATCACTTAAGAAAAGTGATGCCAGTAGTAATCGAAGTAAACGGTGAAGCAACCGGTTACTGACATTTAGAATGTAACATGTATTACCTGTTAAATCTCGCCTGCTTTACCAATTAATTACGTGTAACCCCGCCTTCTTCCTTATTTTAATTTACATATAAAACAATTTGTTTGACGCTTAACTTACATTGTCACAGTAACAATGAAGAAAAGAAAACTTAAAAATATGGTTCTTGTCCGATGGGTTGGAAATAACTCCAAGGATTATGATGGAAAAGAACATTACATAGAGAAAGAAAAAATGATTGAAAGTGAATCAAAAGTAGGAGATGCCGTCAGAATTAGATGGTATGGAAAAATTTGGAATGGAATCCTCGTTTCTGACAGAAAAGATATTTGTGAAGAACCAATCAAAAAAGGGAAAAAGGAAAGAAGTCACTGTAAATCAGTTAAAAATAAACCTAAAACAAAGAAAGAAAAAGACAGAGGCAAGGTAAGAAATTACTTTCTTCTCACATAATGTTATTTACTAGTTCACGTAAGCATCTGAAAGCAAATGCATATTGTATATGTTATACATAGAGAGGTTAAACCAAACACAAACCTCACAACTGAAGCAATTATTTAAAGACAGGACAACAAATCACTAAAAACCACACCAAACAAATAACAGACAGGACAAAAAAAAACGAGGGTACAAACTACTGGCTTGGAACAGTCACATATACATTAATGTGGCGGGGTTGAACTAGTTAAAGGGATCCAACCCCCCCCCCCCCCTTTTTTTCTTATTGTTCTTATTGTCTTTCATTTCGTGTATTTCTCATATGTTTCTGATTTACGCAAACTGAATAACGGGGTTTATTAAAGTAAGAACAATCATCTATAGCATCTTTTTCAAATATGAACATGTTCAAAACATAAAAATAAAATCTTTACAAAGAACAAACACTTTTATTCATGTCATGAATATTCATTAGTAATCTGCATATAAATCTCAGTGTGTAATTTTCAATAGACATTTTAAGTTTTTTCCGTATTCTTTTTAAATGTAACTGTAAATTAAAATACAATAAATAGGGGAGGAGGAGCTTTCGATCCTAGGTATAGAATCAGAACTTGTCCATATTTCTTTTTGTTTTTATTTTGTTTGTTAATTCAAATAGTTTAATTTCTATTTCTTAATGTAGGTCCTCTATAATTTATTCTTTTAAAATATACGACTTACAATATTGTTGTCGTTAGATTCCATTATTAGCGTTGATGGTATAATGTAATGAGTTTCTTTTTCGAAATAAACATTCGAAATATTATAATGTATAATCGATAGAAATAAAAGATTTACTTAATCAAAATATAAAATATAAACAAGTTGACTAGTATTTATAAACATGGTATTAATAAATTTATTACGCAAGCAGGGAATAATTGTATATAACCTTATCTTTTTTACTACAAATGTCTGATAGGATCTTTGTGTTTAATCTAAGATGTCATAATTTATAAAATTCCCGACTGAAACTGACAGAAGGACCAATGTATCAAAGAAAAGAAAATATGCCATCTTTGTAATACTGGAGTTGAAACTGAATATCACTATTTGTGTACCCTCCCAAATATTGTAGTAATTAGACGACTCCCTTCTTATTACCGAAAAATATCAGAATAGATAAAAAAAACAAAAAAAAAACACATACTTTTAAACAACTTCATCATACAATTTGGGTATTTCTCAAGAAAATGATTCATATCTTTAAATAAATAGGTAACTTACTAGGTAAAAGGTATATCCAATGGTACAATTTAGTAATTATATATACGCCGGGCGCAGATCGAGGGGGGGTATGGGTGGGGGTAGAACCCCTTTTTTTGCTTATGAGTATAAAAACTCCTAGGGAAAATTGCCAAAATTTGCCAAAACATAGCCTGGAACCCCCCTTTTGAATTGCCCTGGATCCGTGCCTGTACGCAATGTATGTCAGGCGTGAAAATTAAATTTTCTTGTGCCATTCCGTACTGATTTAGATTTTAAACCATATGTAAATTTCTCTAATTGCATAAATGTGACTGTGTCTCTATGCTGCTATTGATTTATTGTATTTTTATTATTTTATGACCTCTTGTACACTTTGTGTCTGGGGGTAAATAGAGTATTTGTTGCTGTTGTATATATGTCAAAAATTATCAACCAACTGAATTTAAAAAAGTGTTGCTCCGCTTCATGTCGTTCACATCGGGTCCTACATTTTGATTGATTCACATTCATAAGTTTACCGGTTACTTGCCCATGGTCGGTGCTTCTCTCCAGGCGCTATGGCTCCCTCGGCCAATAAAACCCGTCGCCACCAAACTAAACAAAAATATATATTTATACCCCCCGTTAGCGAAGCGGGGGTATAAATTATTCAGGAAGTTCCGTTCGTTGGTTCGTTCGTCCGTCCGTCCGTCCAGACCTGTTATGCTTTACTCCTCTGTAACCAGTTGATGGAAGTCAATAAAACTTTGAGGGATTCTTAAGTAACTTATGGCATTGTGCACCTTCTACTTTTTTTTATCCGATTTATTTTTGGAGTTTCCCATATCAAACAACGGACTTTGCTATTTCTGGTATATGAGAGGGTAGGCATTCCCCATCCATAACTCCTCTGAAACCAGTGATTGGAATTCAATGAAACTTTCAGGGATTCTTAAGTACATAATGGCATGATGCACCTCCTATTTTTTTTTTATCCGAATGATGTTTGGGGTTTCCCATATCAAACAACGGACTTTGCAAAACTGTTCAATCTACAACACCTCGAAAACCAGTCTTCAATAAAAAAATTCAGATTCTTTTGTAAAAAGTGTCATTGTACACCCCTGTTTTATTTCTTTATCAGAGTAATTTATATTTAGCTTCTCTTGCAAACCAGTTGACTTCGCTTTTTCAATTATATACTTTGTCTCAGTGGGTATGCATCCAAGTAACTTTTGATATTTTATTTTATTTGTAGATTTTGTATGTAGGCAACCTGACACTTTCCTCGACAAAAAAAAAGGTAAGACGTCTTTTTTCATATCTTTTCAGAATGTCTTTAAAAATCTTTTGTATTCCGTGTTAAATGGTTATAATTTTAAACAATGAGTTGAATTAGGATGAAAAATAATTTAATGCACTCTGTACGAAGTTTTATGAACTCATTGACCTTGCAGTTTTGAAAATTGTATGAGGAACTTCCGCCCCGTAGATAAATTGTGCCCTTGGTCTTTATGTCTTAACAGGCGCAAATCCACGACTTTAAAAAAAAGGTGGGGGCCGGGAAAAAGGGGGGAGTTCCAGACTATGTTTTGGCAAATTTTGGCAATTTTCCATAGGACTTTTTCATATACTTTTCAGAAACAAGAGGCTCTCAAGAGCCTGTATTGCTCACCTAATTAAATGACCCTTAACAGTTAAGATTTTGTTTATAAGTAAAGCAAATTTGTTTCATGTTTTTCCAGTTATATCCTGTGTAAAATTTGACTCTGCTCTGGTGGCCATCTTGGATTCTGAACTGTAACCAAAACACAAATATGATAAGGGACCAATTGCTGATTATTCCCTCAAAGTTTCAGTTTAATCGGCCGAGTTGTTTCAGATTATTGTTTCGCCTCTATCCTATGTTATTTTATGTAAACTTGATTATGCTATGAAAGCCATCTTGCATTTTCAGCACCAACACACAAATCTGAGTAAGGACCATCAATAGATCATTCATAAAGCATTTCAGTTTAAAAAAGCTTTGTGGTTTCTGACTAAAAGATTTTTCCATGTACTTTCAATGTTATCATAGGTAAAAATTGATTTCGCTATGGCGGCCATCTTGAACTTTTGATTGGCATCAAAAACATAAATTTGATTTAAGAATATCAATAGATGATTCTGTGTGAGTTTTAGTTCAATTGGCTCTGTGTTTCCTGATTTAAAGGGAAATTTCTCTATTATTACTTTATGCCCTAAATTGGTTCAATATCTGTTAAAAATCAACCCTGCAAAGTTTGATGGTCGTATCTTCAACCGTAATGAAATAAAACGATATTTAAATGAGCGTTTTATTAAACCTGGAAGTCGCCATTTTTCTCCTACTTCCTGTAGAAGCTGACGTCAGCTCCTACAGTCTCGTGTTTTTTAAAAACCAAAGACCTGCTACGTACTTAAAATGTAGAGAAAAATCCATGTCGGCAAACGAATACATTTTGTGTATTTAAATTATTTCTGTTGTTAAAATATCGGGTCACGACCCTCGTTGTGACTTTATAGCCACACGTGTGATCATCAATTCATCTATTTGAATAAACAGGATGTGTATTGGCCATGACTTGTGAATTTCGATCTTTTCATCCAATCAAATGTGTACAAGAGTATAAAAAGAATGGTAAATTAAAACTTTTAATATTTTGTTCAATAAAAGAGAAAGAAACCACCTAAAACGTTAATTAAATTTACATTGTAATTCCACCAACAAATTTGTAAATTAATAAACTGACTGAAGTTTTTAAATATTTTGAATATTTTTAAGTATATTTGCCGTGAAATAAAAAAGTGTGTTCTTGTCAAATTATTAAAGGGATTTATGTATTGTGTAAGATAACACTAATAATGAAATGCGCAAACAAAACCCGGCATCTATCCTAATGCCCAATACGTATTTATTTCGGATTAACCTGTATTCATTGCGATAAATTTCCTCGGCTAAAATATGAATTATTAGAGAACTTGCCCATATTTAAATCATATAGTCATTTCTATGTACCGTGTTTTTAAGGTGAAATTTTTCCTAAATTATTTATATCGCCATATAATTTACATATTTGCAGTGAGAGAAAGTAACAATATTTATATTCTGAAAATACCGAAATATACGTTTTTTAGTGGTATATAAATATAAAGACATTAATTCAGACAGAGATGTATGTCTCCGATACAGGAAAGAATGATGTGCGTATGATTACAAGAGGAAAAGGAAAGAGGTGACATCATTTTGTGTGCCGAAAATCTGTACCCAACCTTATTTTTTTCTAAGCCCAAAAGACCTATCTATAATTCATGTATAATTGATGTATTTTTTTGTAAAAGTCTAAATGACCACCACGTTAGCAACTAGTATGTCTTGCTAATTTTATATGAACCTAAAATGTCGGGGAGTATATTCGCATATCCATGTTTGACGTTTTGATGTACTTTTTGTACAAAAAAAAAAGCTATATCATGACGCCAAGAAGAAATGAGGATAGCTATATGCCAGTAGCTTTTATCTGTACGCAATCCTCGTTAAAGAAATTAAAAAAAAAAATTAAAAGCCTTTACAAGTACTTGAATATAATGTCTGTAAATAAATCAATAGAAACTGCTATCTTCTTTAAAATCTGTTTTCTACCATGTACATGTATGCACGTGTGTGTTGGTATCTGTTTTTGTAAAATTCAATTTAATTATTTGTAAACGTGTCGTTTGGACACTTGGAAAGTCAACTG